GCCTGCTTCAGTCCATATAATGAACGCTGTAGATGGCAAACATAATCAGGAACAGACTTGTCCTCATAACCAGGCGGCTGACGCATATACACTGTCTCCGCCAGGTTACCGTTCAGAAAGGCGTTGTGGACATCCAGCTGACGAATGGACCAACCACGGGAGTGAGCAAGTGACAGAAGAAGGCGAACCGTGGTTGGCTTGACCACCGGACTGAAAGTCTCAAAGAAATCCTTACCAGCGACCTGATTAAAACCTTTGGCCACCAGACGAGCCTTATGTCGCTCAATAGACCCATCAGCATTCCGTTTCACCCGAAACACCCACTTGCAACCCACAACATTCATACCTGGAGTGTACGGGACCAGAGTCCAAGTCTGGTTGTGTAGGAGAGCATTAAACTCAGCATCCATGGCCTCACGCCATTCCGGATGCGCAACAGCCTGAGAATAACATGTCGGCTCGGGTGTTGTAGCGGCAGAAACGAGAGCCACATGCTCCTGCGGGCCCCGACTCCTCGTTGCCATAACATGAGAGGGCGGACCTGCCACCTTGTTCTTACTACCACGAGGTCGACCCCGAGAAGCTTTAGGGACAGCCGAAACGGTCCGTTCAGTGGAGACAGAGTCAGCCGGACCCGCGGGCATATCCGGAACCGGTGTATCATCGACAGGCTCCATAACTGAAGAGGAGATAGGCACGATGGGGGCAACACCCCACGGCACCACTGGAGGCCGAGACACCACCTGCGAAGCAACAGATCTAGCAAAAGGAAAAACGGACTCATCGAATCGCACATGGCGACAGATAAAGACCTTATTAGTGACAGGATTCATACAACGATAGCCACGAAAAGAGTCAGGATACCCTAAAAACACACAAGGAGAAGAACGATATTCCAATTTATTACGGTTATAGGGACGCAATAAAGGAAAACACAAACACCCAAAGACACGCAAAAAGGAATAGGACGGAGGAGACCGGTGCAAACGAGAGTGAGGAGACTCATTATTTAAGACACTGGTAGGCATTTTATTAATCAAGTATACAGCAGTCTCAAACGCATAGTCCCAGAAACGAGATGGGACAGACGCTTGAGCCATCAGGGCCAAGCCAGTCTCAACTATATGCCGATTACGGCGTTCTACCCGCCCATTCTGTTCATGTGTGTATGCACAGGACTGCCTGTGACGAATGCCAAGAGACTCAAAGGTAGAGTGAAGTTTCTTATACTCTCCCCCTAAATCAGACTGAATAGAAAGTATTTTCTGTGAGAACGAGCGCTCAACGAGTGACCGAAACCGTTCAAATATGGAATATATATCAGTTTTTAAGCGCATCGGATAAAACCAAATAAAACGGGTAAAGTCATCCACAAACAAAACAAAGTAACGAAAACCATTCACAGAGTGCACAGGCGCAGGGCCCCAAATATCAGTATAAACCAATTCTAGTACACGGGTAGTTTTAGTTTCAACACGGGGCAAAGGAAAACGGGATGACTTCCCTAACTGACACGAAGAACACAAACGAGATAGATCACTAGAATTAAAACTACTAACACCAGAAGACTGCAAAATCTGACGAAGAACCCGAGTATGAGGGTGACCAAGCCGCTTGTGCCACGTAGAAGACGAAGCACGCGCAGCAACATAAGCAACAGAACGAGCAGAAGACGCGGGCCAGGAGTATAAGCCACCAGAAGTTCCCCCCTTAAAAACCACCTCCCTGGTCAAGAGATCCTTCACAAGAAAACAGTCAGGATGAAACTCAAAAAAGACACGATTATCTTTAGCAAAGCGTTGAACAGAAATTAAAGAAGAAGACAAACCAGGGACATGCAAAACATCATCTAATCGAAACACTCTAGAAGACGAGGCTATCGAAGTAGACCCAACACTAAAGATAGGCATACCTTCACCATTGCCGACACGAAGAGTGTCCGAACCGTCATAGCCTGCCGAGGACATCAACTGAGAGGAATCGGGAGTGGCATGATTAGTGGCCCCCGTATCAGGAAACCATTGGTGAGAGTCAACCGAACCACCCTCACCACCAGAAAAAGCCACATTAGCCTGAGGACCAGACGACTCAGAATAACGGCGCCAACAATTCGCCGCCGAGTGCCCAATCTTGTCACAAATCTGACAACGCACATCCGAGCGACCACGGCCACGGCCCCGGCCACCGCGACCACGGCCGCCACTGCTCGAACCGCCGGTGCACCAACCGGACCATCACCTGCGCAGATATATTCTTGAGAAATTAAATAATCGGAAAGATCCGAGAGAGTTACCGGGTCACCACGAGTCAACGGAGCAACGAGCGGGCGAAGATCCGACCGCAGACCACGGAAGACATAAATATTCTGCTCATCAAGAGGAACCGGACGCCCAGCAAGGGCCAAGTCTTCCACCAAAATCCGCGCCCGGTTCAAATAATCCGAAACGGACGAAGCCCCCTGCGACAAACGCTGCAGCTCACTGAGCAAACGAACCGCGCGAGACCGCGTTGCCGAGCCGAGCTCTTGCTCAATCGCCAACCACAATTTACGCGACGTCGGTCGGCCCACAGCCAACGGTAGCATCTCGTCAGACAAGGACGAGATCAAGAGAGACAGGACAGCCTTGTCCTGTCGACGCCACTGCACCACCGGCGACGCTACTGCCGAGGCAGTGCTGCCGCTGTCTGCCGTTGACGAAGCCGACGAGGCTGCCGGCGGACACTCCACCGTGCCGTCAACAAAGCCCAACACCCCCTGACCTTCGAGAAACGGGAGCATCTGGGTACGCCAGAACAGATAATTGTGTGCGGTGAGCTTGATCGACACAAAGTGATGAGCACTGGACAAGCTCGGAGACGGATAAATGGGGGTGGAGGCAACCTCGGAGACGGTCCGTTCTGAAGAATCACGAACAGATCCATCATTATTCCCACCCAAAGCTGCCATGGAAAGAAACCTAGATATGATACCAGATGAGGATTGTATTGATTAACCGAAAACGAATAATAGTCTGTACAATACTAATATAGAAGACAAGTATAAAGAGTTCTACTAGACTACTAATACTAGAGTCCTAACAAACATTATACTTACAATTTATAAGATATTTTAATTTTATTAGTGATTCATGAATTTTTAAACCAAAATCCAATTAATTGGTATTGTATATATAGAGTGAAATTAAAGGAACATACTAGGAAACATGGTTAAAGGCCAACAAAAAAAAAAATGCTTGAGAATATCATATTACCTAAGTGAGAGAATGAAATCATATTTCTAAAAATATTGCTTCAAATATGATGTGATAGGCATTTAACATTTTTTCAGAAATAATATATGACGGGAACCAAATATAAGAATATAGTATTCCAAAGTCTATATTATATCATATGAAATTCCATGATCAGCCAAACACTCCAAAAGTTTGAATACAATTAAATGTTGTGTTTAAAGAATTCCAATTAAATTGGGAATTTAGTTTCTGAAAGTTTAATAAATGTAGTTTGCTTAGGAACCTGAAAACATGCAATTATCAACAACATGGTACATTTCCTAATGTAATATCAACATGGACAACTTTTTAATATTAAAATATATAGGTTCATCATCAACAAGTGTTTTATGATGAGGTGGTTTTAGATTTTAATTAATTAAAGTAATTAAGCTACTTGTTTTAGATCTTTCAATTAGTACCAGTTGGCCGGTGTCATTGATGATGAAATTTCATTTGATTAATTATATTCATGTTGTCATTAATCAATTAATAATTTTTTAGGTGATTAGAAAACGAAAAAGTTGTAGCGAAAAAATTTATATTATAATTTCACTTTATGAATTTAAGCTCTGGAGACACCTAAAAGCAACAAGTTCTTGATACTTTCATGCGCGAATTTTTTCACTTTTGGTTCCATGGGCATAGTGCTTTTTTCACATTCGGTTAATGAGTATCAAAATATATATATATATATATATATATATATATATATATATATATATATATATATATATATATTTGGTGCAAACTATCAAATTCCTACTATATTTGGTCCTTTGTGTCCCAATTTCCTAGTCAGTTATTTATTTATTTATTTTTATCATTAATGTATGTTAACCTCAAGATCAGTACTATATTCCACTATGCAATCTCAATGCTTCTCAAATTGAAATAATTCACACGACTATCTTGTGTGAGATTTTGGCTAATATTAGACAAGAAAATGATCAAACGTGCACGGCAGTAATTTGAGTCATGTATAAAATGTGAAAAAAAATAATAGTCAAATACCAAATGTATAAAATATAGAATAGTCGAGGGACCAAAAGTGAAAAAAAAAAAAAACTTTTAGGCAAAAATTCAAAGAGTGAAAATTTTCAACGTGATATTAATTTTTAGGCAACTGATAGTACATATGAAATTTGAGGTAAAAGATTTGGACAATAAACATCTTCAGTTTAATTATCTGAATTTCTCTTTCAAGTGGGAGAAAGAAATGCTTATTATTCTGTCCAAAAGATGCAGTCAATTAAGGATGGGAATAATTCCTAATTAAAATAGTGACATATTTGTTGCACCACACAGATAAATGACACTCATTTTCTCACTCCAGCTCATCTAAGTAGTAACATATTTGTTGAATTCAACTAAGCTAGCTACTACCCTACAAAGAGTGGTCCAATAAAGATAAAGATTCCTAAATACTTAACTCGTCAAAAATCATCATTATATTCTCAAACATTTAGTCTAATTAACATAATTCATATTACATAGATATATGTGTAGGTCTATAATCAGGTGAGAACTTGTGAAGGATTACACGATACTTACTACATGATTGCACTACACCCGGATATGATTTCACCATCAGGCATGTTTGGGAGCCGTAGAAATACAATCATGTAGTAATTGCGGTGCAATCCTTTACAAATTCGTAGTTCGCAGGTAAGGTTGGTTTTCACCTTATTAGAAATGTATATATGTATATTATCGAACTAAAAATGTGGCAAAAGATTAAGAAGTTTTGAGATGCATGTGCATTTACAAACCCCTAATATAATTGATTAATTAAAGTTGATAACCCTTAGAGATTGAGATAGGTCATTATCATGCCTATATAATCAACCATGAAGGGCTCATCTCTCTCTCATTCTCTGAGCTTATTGAGTTTACTCCAACATCCTTCCACCCCATAAATCTCTCTTATCTCTCTAACCCAACCATGGATAGAATACAATCCTGGGTTTCAATCCTATTCTTGTTTATAAGTGTACCTGCGGTGGTGATATGGGCATGCAGGGTGGTGCAATGGGTGTGGTTGAAGCCAAGAAAGCTGGAGAAATGGTTAAGGCAGCAAGGGCTGAATGGTAATTCGTACAGAGTATTCTATGGTGATACCAAGGAGATGGCAACCTTGACCGCTAAAGCTAAGTCTAAGCCGATTAATCTCTCTGACGATATTCTCCCTCGCGTTCTTCCTTTCTACCATCTCGCTGTCACCAAGTATGGTACGTATGTAAATGCTCATATATATATATATATATATATATGGTCAGGTTCCTGTGAGGTCAGGTCTTTTCGTGCGGTCAGTGCGGCATACACCATTAGGTGTGCATAAATGCACCACACAGTGTTCGAAAATACACCATTATGTGTGGTGTATTTTTTTGGCATTTCATATATATATATATATATATATATATATATATATATATATATATGTGAACTCCTCAATTCATTATATTCTTCAATACTTCATTCTCATTGTTAGGATGTCACTTTTCTCTCTAATTTTATTTTTGGAATTTAGTCACAATAAAGTGATAACAAATAATATATGGACATGCACTAGATTTGGTTTGGATTAGATTTTTCTAAAAAAATTGTAAGGTGTCGATATGATTTACACTGAATTGCTCGATAGTCGATATAACCAAGCACGCACCTAAACATCATATTTTCTATTTTTACCAAAATATATAAATGCCAACGAAGATAGGATCTTAACCAGAATAAAGATGTCTTATAATAAGTTGTAGTGATGATTTGTACATTGTGATTACTTTGTTGTACACTTAAAAGTTATTTATGATTTTACTCTTGTTTTTTTTCTCTTAGTTAGTAATACCGTCAAATGTATTAACTTATCTTTATTATTATTTCTATTATTTTCTTTTATCTCTTTGAATTTTATTATATTTTTTATTAAACATTTATTTAATGGCATAATATGTGATAACTTGACCTAGTGTGTGTGAACCACAGAGAAATGGATGTAGTAATTGAATTGGCTTGTTTTGAAGTTTGAAATAAACAGAGAGTTATGATAAGTTGATTGGTTATTAATTAATTTTATAAATAATTTAAAATTTTATTACTTAAAAAAAAAAAAAAAAAATTTCTTCCACTTTCTATCCAATTAACACGAGCGATCTCATTAGTAGTTTTCGAACTAAAATATGATTGGGTTTTGCATGTTTCCTGGCGGGTTGATTGGGAGTGTTCACTGTTCACTGATCAGGACCATAATTTTTGTTAGTGGTCCCAGCAGATATTTATTAGTGCCCGCTCTACTAATCCTACATAATTTTTCCTTGTGGACCACTAATTTTTGTCTCCACTAACGTTAACACTGCCAAGGAATTCAACAATTTGTTATACCATAAAACAGGTTTATATTGCATTGTGAATCTTAATCTCAAAATTATGTCTACATTTATAATTTATGTACATGTAAATAAATTGAGGGTACATAACTTGGTAATTACAGGACACATAAATTATTAACTGCAAGCACAAAATATATTAACTGCAGACACATAAAGATGTTGGTTAACATGTTATGTGTCTGCCGTTAACATATTATGTACCTATAGTTAACAGTTGTCTGTTGTTATCATGTTATATGTATGTAATTACCATATATTTTTTTTCCATCATTCCATAGTTCCATGCCTCTTGTAACATGGGAACCATGCATGCATGCAGGTAAAAATTGCTTCGTGTGGTCAGGTCCAGCGCCAAGGGTGATAATATCGGAACCGGAACTAATGCAAGAGGTTTTTATGAACAACACCCTATTTAAGCGCCCAAAACCTCATCCTCTCGTCAAGTTCCTTGTCTCCGGCTTGGCCTGCTACGAAGACCAGCAATGGGCTCGCCATCGCAAAATTATTAGCCCCGCTTTCTATCCCGACAAGATCAAAGTATGCATACTATACAGTTGTTTGATTATTTTCTATAAACTAATTATCATTAATCAATTCCCATAAATAATCTCAGTTTTTCTTCTTCTTTTTTTAGTGTATGGCGCCTTCAGTGACGTCGAGCTGCGAAGAAATGATCATGAAGAAGTGGGAATTGTTAACCTCGGAGAAGAATTGGTGCGATTTTGATGTGCAGCCGTACCTTGAGGCATTTACCAGCGACGTGATTTCAAGAACAGCTTTCGGAGGCAGCTACGTTGAAGGAAACAAAGTTTTTAGTCTGCAAAACGAACAAGCAGAACTCACGCGTCAAGTCATCCACTCTGTTTATTCTCCAGAATGGTGGTAATTAATATAAACTTCCAGGCCAATTCAAAAACTCAAATTAAGAATCAAAATTAATAGAATTGATTGCGAGTTTTATTGGTTTGGTGATCTGATCTGATAGGTTATTGTCATCGAAGAGAAGCAGGAGAATGCATGAGATCGACAACGAGATTCGAGGCCTGATGAAGGGTTTGATTGGGAAGAGAGAGAGAGGGATGAAGGAGAAGGTGGGAGATGATGATGAGGAGAACTTAGACTTGCTGGGAGTTCTGCTGAAATCTGGGTTTAGCACTGATGAAGTGATTGAAGAATGCCAACATTTCTACTTTGCTGGCCAAGAGAGCACCTCCGATTTTCTTGTGTGGATCATGATTTTGTTAAGCATTCACCAAACATGGCAGGACCGCGCTAGGCAAGAGGTTCAACAAGTCTTCGGCCACAACAAACCAGATTTTGATGGACTCAACCGTCTCAAGATTGTAAGTACTATAACTGATACCAAATTGAAGCATGTACTCCATCTCAATTAAAAGTCTAAGCTGATAGTTGGATTGCAATTATATGTTCAACACTGACTTACCTCTTTATGGTCCGCTAAGATCAGAAGACCTGGTTTATCCAGTCAACACTCTCATGTAATGACTGTGTGTTTTTCTTGTCATAGTTGACGATGATTCTGAACGAGGTTTTGAGGTTGTACCCTCCATCGCCCTATACAATTCGAACCATGTACGAGGAAACAAAGCTAGGAGAAATGAAGCTGCCGCCAAATATTATCCTTATATTGTCGTCGCTCCTTGTCCAGCGAGATCCCGACGTGTGGGGGGCCGACGCCGGGGAGTTCAAGCCGGAAAGATTTGCAGAGGGGGTGGCCAAAGCAACGAAGAACCGGCTGGCGTTCCTGCCATTCGGGTGGGGTCCGCGTACATGCATTGGGAATAATTTTGCGATGATGGAAGCTAAGATCGCCATTGCAACCATCCTTCAACGCTTCTCTTTTCACCTGTCTCCCTCCTACGCTCATTCTCCTTGCTTTGTCGTCACTCTCAAACCCCAGTTTGGTGCCCCTCTCGTCCTCCACAAAATCTGATTCGCCCTAACTAGCTAACAATAATTCTATTCTCTTTCATCTTCGTGGCCGGTTTCATTGCTTTTGCATGAAATGGAACTTCAAAAAATAAGCATTCAATAAATTAAAAAATAAATTTTATGTGAGTGATTTATCTTGATCTATGGTTGATTGTATAATGATTGGAGGCTCACTTCTCTCCCATTTTAGCCCAATTTTACTGCTTTTCAAGCCCACTATACCATCTAGGGCCCATTTCCACACTCAATCCAACAATGTGAAAATATGGAGTATATCACCAATCATTATTGTCTGGACCACGGTCCAAATACGACGCTGACAGCGCCATTAGGTCTCGCAATTTTTTTTACGCGATCTTCATTTTCCTCTCCAGTGTTGCAACATACATTTTTATAACTCATAAAGTACATTATTCTAACTCAAAATACATTATCTTACCGTAGAATGTTCATTATTCTAACACATAAAGTATATTATTCTAACTCATAAAATATATTATTTTAACACATCAAGTATATTATTTTAACTCATAAAATACATTATCTTACCCTAGAAGGTTTATTATTCTAACACAAAGTACATTATTCTAAAGAAATTAAAATACATTACTTTTAACTCATAAAATACATTATCTTATCCCAGAAAGTTCATTATTCTAACACATAAACGGCTGAATAGATCACATTGTTATTGACTAACAATTTTTTTTTTTTTTATACTCAAAACGATGTCGTTCTGGACCGTAGTCCACACAATAATTTACCGTATATCACTAGTGCCCAATTTCCAGCAAATTAACAATGTGGACCATGAATAAATGTTCATGTTTAATATATCGAAGGTATATTATTTGTATATTGAAGATTTATTATTTGTATATCAAATAATGAATTTTTAGTACTCAAATAATTTACTTTGAAAAAATAAATTTTTATATATTAAAAATGTATATTATGTGAATTATCTATTTTATAAGGTAAAGCATGGTCCATAATATAATGATTGCCTATTTCCTGTGTTGCTAAGACCCAAGTTCTTTTTTATTCCCCTGGCCCCAATCCTAGCTAGGTTCACCACATGAGCCCTAAGAAAATCCCCAGCACCCTTGATGCGGGCATGATTAGTTCAGAATCTACTTAATTATGACTCGATAACAAATACTAATAAGATAATGAGATGTTTTCAAAAAAAAAAAAAAAAAGATAATGAGATCAAGAAAATTAGTATCTCTCACTCAATATCACTAATAAGTAACTGAATATGAATTATGGTTCACAATATAATAAATTTTATATTAGTGATATAGTTTATAATGTGGATCATTGTTCAAAATATATATAATAATTGTGTTACGTACAGGTTTAGCATTCAAAATACCACGCTTACTAAAACGGCTAAGTTTGATTCAGTAAATGAAGTAAGCTACTAAGATACATATGGTGCATGGAGCCAAACTAAATTATTTTGATTTTGACACGCACTGGGATCCCATATTCTATTATTTTGAATTATAATAATACAAATATACATACATCGTCTGTAGACTGTAGTGACCTGTTTGGCTGTTTAATAATATAACGTCGCTTTCTGTTATTTTTAAGTATTTTAATGAGTTAATTTAATTTTTAATTTTAAATTTATAGGTGGCAGTCTACTTGTAGTCTATTTTATTTTTTTTTTAGAATATCTACTTTTGGTACAATCTTAATATTATTGTATTATGATCATTTTTGGTCCTGTATCAACAAAGTAATTTAAATTACTTGCACTTTTTACTTGCAAAGGTGCACCAGTTACTTACACTAGTAATATTTAATCGCACCAAAATTTTGAGTTATTTACAAAAATGTCACCGTGTCGTTTTTTTTTTTTAAATTACATATGATTCGTTGATCTAGACACGTGGACAACTGTGAATAGTTCTTATTTCTCTCATGGACGATTGTTCTCATCTGAGCGCACCCATATATATATATATATATATGCGAACAAATTTGGTATGTTCATATAATTAAAGATGATCAAATACTAAAAATTAATGAAAAAAGAGAAAAAAGGCTATGACAATTTTATAATTTTTTAAAATTATGATTATGTATTTAGAAATGTTTGACAGTGCATGGAAGACATTACCCAATTCTCATCCCCTTTCTTATCTGATCTCTATCTGCCACTAGTGGCTTATGTAGTGGTTGACAACTTAGGCTTATTTATGACCTCTTTAATTTGTGGTCTTTTGTTGACTATCAGGCTATATATGCAGCTATGCAGACAAGATTGTCCATCTATCCCCTCCAAAAAAAACAGACATACAGAGATCGAATATGCAAGTGGAACACATCAACTCAGTTGTGTTATCATTGGCTCTGGTCATCATAGCCGCCCTGACATGGGCGGCATGGAGGATAATAAACTACGTGTGGTTCACTCCAAAGAAGGTGGAAAAATGGCTGAGAGAGCAAGGCTTCAGTGGTAATCCTTACAGGCTATGGCATGGAGACTTGAAAGATATAAGGAAGATGACCGCCCAATCATACTCCAAAACCATAAACTTATCCGACGACTTCTTGCCCAGAGCTTTCCCCTTCCACCATCAAATCCTTCACAAATATGGTACATACTTTACGTTTTCTATTCTCAGATCACTTGTTTATTTCTTCTTCTTCTTTTTTTTTTTTTCCATGATTTTTGTCTTTGCATGTGTGGATGTGTTGAACCCATACCATACATCCAAAGAATAATAATAATAATATTTTTGATGAAGGCAGCATACTTACAAGGATAGCTTTTAACACGTGGCTTGCTAGATATGCTGCCACCTGCAACTTGGTGTTATTTTTTATAAATTCAATTCTAAGATTGATCGGATCATTTAAAAATAGAAGAAGAAATATGTGATTGTGTATGTTAAACACTTTGAACATGGATTCGAACTTATTAGCTTTTCTATACAATTTTTACATAGGTCTTCTCATTGTATTTATTATTTCATTATTTCATTATTTCTGTTAATTATATTAACCAATTCAATCACACTATAATACAGTTATTATATTATTTAAATTTAAATTGTGAGTTATATATAAGTAGCTATTGTAAGAAGGGTGGGGCCGATGAATTTGTACTTTGCAGGAAAGAAATCATATTTTTGGCAAGGACCAGTTGCGAGGGTGTTCATCATGGATCCAGAAATGTTAAGAGAGATATTGTATAAATACAGCATATTTCAAAAGCCAGTGTCCCAATCACCCATCTTTAGGTTGCTTGCTACTGGACTCGTATCTCAAGAGGGTGAGCGTTGGGCCAAGCATAGAACACTCCTCAACCCTGCTTTCAAACCACATAACTTAAAGGTAGGTAACATATATTATTCTAACTAGTTACACTGTTAATTACATCCAATAATGTTTAGTGCTAATAAACATTATATAATACTACTGAAAATTATGGAATTTCCGACCACCGATCTTAAATCAAGTTGAAAGCAAAAAGTAGTCGGAAATAGCAACAAAGGTTTTTCCGGATACCAAAAGTGGTCGGAAGCTTTTGACTTGATTTAAGATCACTTTCAGATGGTCGGAAATTCCATAATTTCCAGCAGTGTAAATTTAAAATTCTTAAGCCTCTCTCACTCGATCTCTAATTCTCTATGTATCATTTTGTTATAGCAAATGTTGCCAGGCATGCATGCCTGCTGCAGCAGCATGGTAAGAAAATTGGAGAATTGGGTGAAAGAGAAAGGGGCGGTGGAAATGGACCTGTGGCCTCATCTGGGCAACTTATCTGCAGATGTAATCTTAAGAACAGCATTTGGGAGCAGCTATGAAGAAGGGAAGAGGATCTTCCAACTCCAAACGGAGCAAGCTAAGCTGGCATTCGCTTTTACCCAATCAAATTATATCCCGGGATGGAGGTTTTTGCCCACTAAAACCAACAGAAGAATGGTGGAAATCTACAAGGAAGTGCGCGGTTTGATGCTGGGAATCATCAACAAGAGAATCAAAGCGATGAGAGTGGGAGAAGATGAAAACGATGATGACTTGCTGGGGATACTAATGGACTCCAATTTCAAAGCGGTTAGGACAGGAAGAAACAACAACGTTGGACTCACAATTGATGAAGTGATGGAGGAATGCAAGCTGTTCTACTTTGCCGGTCAAGAAACCACTTCCAACTTGCTGGCCTTCACCATTGTTATGCTGTGCAAGCATCAAGATTGGCAAGCCCGGGCACGCCAAGAGATTCTCCAAGTTTTTGGAAACACAATTCAACCAGATTTCGAGCGCCTGAATCAACTCAAAATAGTAAGCAAATAACATTTAATACTATCACGGCTGGAAATTATGGAATTTCCGACCACCTGAAAGCAAAAAGTGGTCGGAAATAGTAATAAAGATTTTTCCCAATACTTTCCTTCAGGTGGTTGAAAATTCCATAATTTCTAGTAGTGTATGCCAAAAGCTATACATACGAAACAGAATCTAAGAAATGGGAATTGAATATGATTTGCAGATAACGATAATTATGTACGAGGTTCTGAGGTTGTATCCTCCGGCAACTATGCTGCTCCGGAAGACGACTGGGAAGACAGAGCTAAGAGGTGTGACGATGCCTGATGGATTGGAGCTGGTGTTGCCGATAATCTTTGTCCATCACGACACTGATCTTTGGGGCGATGACGCTAAAGAATTCAAACCAGACAGGTTTTCGGAAGGGATAGAGAAAGCGACGAAGGGGCAGGCTTCGTTCTTCCCCTTCGGCTCGGGTCCAAGAGTATGCATCGGCCAGCATCTTGCAATGGCGGAGGTTAAATTGGCTATGGCCATGATTCTCCACCATTTCTCCTTAGACCTGCCTTCGTCTTATGTCCATGCTCCATTTTCCCTTCTCACTCTTCAACCTCAATATGGTGTTAAGGTCATCCTCACCAAAGTTTAGGCCTGGAACCCTAAGACTCTCCTTTAAACTCTGGGGATTAATTGAAGGGAAATTATACATTTATATTTTATACACCATGTGATAAACATGGTAAGTAGACAATGTACTTGTAAATTGTAATAAGAGATTTGGCATCTCCACCAATTACCATGTAGTATGATGGCATCTCAATTATCATTCTAATTGGATAGTCATATGTTTGAACCCCGGTAGTGGGGGCTTATATTCTTTAGGCTGAAAATGTATGTAACAATGTTGATAGACTGTGTTGAGTTATCTTTTCTCCTAAAGAACATATTCGCCAAGGTGGAGATTGTTGAGTTTGTCTCATATATGGATTAAGAATAAGTGTTTGTCTCATACTAGGGGTAGGAGTGAAACGGGTAGACCTATTGTATAGGGATTGGATGCCTATAAATATATTGGTTGTATCCCTAAAGGGTTGTGTGTCACCATTACACCATCACAAATAATAAGAGAATACTTTCACTCCCGTGGATGTAGGTACATTGCCGAACCACGTAAATCTTGTTTTTTTACCTTTTTGTCATTATTATTTTTCTTGTTCTTGTTAATCTCAACAAATTGGTATCAGAGCATTGTTGAGATGACCAGTTCAAGCACAAAATTCGAGGTATCAAAATTTGATGGTACAGGGAATTTTGGATTATGGCAATCTAGGGTAAAGGATTTGTTGGCACAACAGGGTCTTCTAAAAACTTTGAAGGCGGATAAGCAAGCTAATCTGGAAGAGGATGATTGGGAAGATTTGAAGGAGCGTGCGGCAGGAACCATTCGGTTATGCCTAGACGATGGAATTGTGTATCACATTATGGCCCTGGAAGCCCCAAAAGAAATTTGGGATAAATTGGAAACTCAGTTCATGGAAAAATCTCTAACGAACAAACTGTATCTAAAGCAAAGGCTTTATGGGCTTAAGATGGAGGAGAGTTCAGACTTGGTGCATCATATTAATATCTTCAACCAGATAATCTCAGATCTAGCCAGGCTTGATGTCAAGATTGAAGATGAAGACAAGGCGATGATCTTGCTATGTTCATTACCTTTTTCCTTTGAACATCTGGTGACTACTCTAACATACGGGAAAAGCACGATTAAATACAGCGAGATCTCTGCGGCCCTGCAGGCTCATAATAAGCGCTTGCAGAGTGGATCGTCTGTTGGTGAAAGTTTGTATGCTAAAGAGGGTCAGGATCGTGGAAGGAAACAAGAGAAGGGTAATTCTGGGAGGAGAAACTCTAGGTCTAAGTCCAAAAATAGCAGGAAAATCCGGTGCTACAAGTGTTATGAGATTGGGCACATAAAGAGAGATTGTCCAAAGTTGAAAAAACAACAAGAGGCGGCGAACATGGTGCATGCTGATGAATCTTATTATAGTGAAGGTGATGTTCTAGCGGTAACTAGTAACAAGTTCGAACATTGTTTGGACTTGTTGGGCGTTTCTAGATGCTAGATGAGAAGGTGGTAAGGGACGCTGTGGTGTTGGGCAGCGCGGATACCAGGAGGGGTCGTGGACCTGGTATCAATATGGGTCAATATTGGCTCGGTATGGGCTGGGCTTGTCATGAGTCACAGCTAGTATGGGCTGGGCTTTTGGCATGAGTCACGGCTGGTATGGGTCGAGCTTGTCACGAGTCACGGCTGGTATCGGTATAGGCTTATATGGGCTCGGTATGTGCCGGTATGGCACTGGTTAGGGCTGATATGGGTTTGGTATGGGAGGACTTCTCGGGACGACGAAGAAGTTCATGAACATGCACTGGGAAACGTTTGGTGCTGCGTTGTGCGTGTTGCTGGCCAGTGGTAATTGCTGGTTAATGGAGCATTGGGCAAGGCACACGAGTTTAGTGTGACTTTGCAGGGGCGCTGTTGTGTTGGGGCAGCGTGGATACCAGGAGGGGATATGGACCTGGTATGTGCCGGATGCAGGAAGTCAGCTAAACGGGGCAGTTAGCATGAGTCGCGGCGGTATAACAGGTCGACGGCTGAGGGGCGAATGACTTGGAACAAAGCGGTTCGTGTACATGCACTGGGTAACGTTTGATGCTGCGTATGCATGTGGCTGGCTAGTTGGGATGAGCATGGTTGTTCCTACCCATGTGTATATGTGAGATAAGTTTTTTTTCTCCTAAGGGGCATAATTGTGAAGGTGGAGATGGTGAGATAAGTCTTTTCTCCTAAGGGACATATTTGCTAAGGTGGAGATTTGTTGAGTTATCTTTTTCTCCTAAAGGACATATTTGCGAAGATGGAGAAGTCTTTTCTCCTAAAGGGCATATATGTGAAGGTGGAGATGGTGAGATAAGTCTTTTCTCCTAAAGAGCATATTCGTCAAGGTGGAGAATTGTTGAGTTATCTTTTCTCCTAAAGAACATATTCGCCAAGGTGAAGATTGTTGAGTTTGTCTCATATATGGATTAGGAATAAGTGTTTGTCTCATACTAGGAGTAGGAGTGAAACGGGTAGACCTATTGTATAGGGATTGGATGCCTATAAATATATTGGTTGTATCCCTAAAGGGTTGTGTGTCACCATTACACCATCACAAATAATAAGTGAATACTTTCACTCCCGTGGATGTAGGTTCATTGCCGAACCACGTAAATCTTGTCTTTTTACCTTTTTGTCATTATTATTTTTCTTGTTCTTGTTAATCTCAACAGACTGGTAGTGAAAATACTACAAATTTGATTCCTAATGAAAGCAGTTTATTGACTTTCTTGGTTTGAGTCAATCAGCTACAAAAAGACGTTTATTCAATGCAATTCTTGCATAGTGGTTGTGGTTCTCTCGTCACTCAAAAAAATGCTTTAAAAATTTAAATTTACACTATAAAGTATAAATATATGTGAGGAAAGAATAAAATTGATAACATAGTTCCCCTCATTCATTTGGCATGATAGTCATTACTTGTTAGTTGTTAGCAAGAAAAACTACACACAAAAAGCTAAGAAAGTTAGGTTGTTACAGGACCCCACATATCTATGATGATACATGCCCATTTGTTCATTCGTTCTCACAATCTCACCTGCATTCAGAGATAAAGGGCCAAGGAAAAAAATTAGAGGAAAATGGAAGGAAAAATGATACTCCGTACTTAATACTACTAGGCCTAGGGGAATTCGCCTTTCTGTTACCCTCCTCACTTGAGAACAAGAACATGGCTGCAGTTGGGTCAATGCCTTCGTCACTGTGGATTTCGGTTTCAGCACCTACAAAATCAAAGATCACTTCTTGCAATGTCAAACCCAGATTTTCTCTTCCTCTCAGCAAAACCCACAGTTATTTCACTATCTTTTCCACATTTCCTTCTCATTTCTCATTAGGGTCGTTGGATGCTAGGCTTCCCGGTCTATTCTCGCCCAGAGCTGCTTCATCTTCTTCTGGTAAAATGTCCTTTTAATTTGATTAGTACATGTGCTTATTGAATTACTTGTATTCAGCATATATTTCTTATTTCTTTACCCAATGCAGAGGAAAGATGAATTCTCATTTATTGTTGTATAATTCAAGAGAGAGATTGCTTGTATTTGCAGTGTTGTTAGGTTTCAGATTACTGGCAAGTTTCTTTCTCTATGTTGACAAGTTGTATCTCTGACAATAATTTATAGAACTGAAGGCCATAGCTAGAAAGTATACTGCAGTACCTTCAAAATTGGATCTTTTTCTTCAAATTGTATGATAAATGCTTGAATTTGGGCTAGAAATGGGAGGGTGGAGTGCGAAAATGAAAGTGATCGCATGATATTGAACTAAAGTACTCTTGATTGTTTACAATTGAATTTGGGATGTACTCAAGTGGAGAATAACAAATAGTTACTTTCAAGTTCCATGATGCATGATTTAGTCATATTGAATTTGGAAGCGGCCTATTGACTTTCTGCGTTTGAGCCAGTCAGTCTAGGCTGGTTTACCTCTTTGTGGTCCTTTGCCAGCTAAGGTCACAAGGCAAGGTTTACCTAATGAACACCCTTGGATAGTGGTTGAAGGTTTCCCTCGTCACCCAAGAATATAGAGTATTGAAAATCGATAAAAAGGAACATATATGTCTACTAGATTGAATATCTCATCCCCCTTTGAGAAACAACTGATTAGATTTGAACTTGTTTCAGTTGGAAATGCAGAGTATGTAGAGGAACCAACAACCAATGTAAAGTTCCAAAGATCATTGAGCCTCCCCGGTTGCTGCACATCTTTATCTTTGCTTGGGACTGGTTAGCTGCTATCCAAAGTCATAACAAAATTTCTTCTAACTTTTGAAGTTTCAGTTTTTGCTAAATTCACAGTAGCCTCTACGTTTACACTTGTGCTCTTATGAACTAACTTTGGCAGTTGCAATTACTTTTAGGATACAGGGAAAAAGTTTTTGCAATAATAGGTGTTAAGGTCTATGCTGCGGGACTATATGTCAATGAATCCATCCTCAATAAGTTAGATGCCTGGAGAGGACGCTCAGCAGCTGAGCTACAAAATGATTCCCCGTTGTTTGAGACCATATTTAAAGGTAATTACGTTTGATTAAGTGGGGGATGTCCGAATAATGGAGAGCTTTTGTTCGGGATACTGGTGGAGCAAAGAATTAGAAAGTGCAAAATCCATAGAGAATTTTAGTAATTGATTATTTGTACTGCAGCTCCTCTGGAGAAATCTCTAAGCATCGTTTTAGTGAGAGATGTTGATGGTAAAACTTTCTGGGATGCGTTAGATGAAGCTATCTCTCCAAGAATCAAATCGCCCTCTGCAGATGATGAAACTGCCCTTTCCACATTCCGTACCATCTTTCAAGGGAGACCTCTTAAGAAAGGAACTTTCATAGTGTTAACTTGGGTTGACCCAACCAAAATGCTTGTGAGTATGCATCCATTTCATATAAAACTGTTCATTTTGATGGGCTCCAAACAATACGTGGACCATAGTCTTTTTTTTATCCCATGACCTTTGACATGGCTCTGATACCTACCACGCCTCTCTTTCCCTTTCTATGTTCTTCAAGCATGAACTTGATGTTAACCGATGCATTGTTTTGGTTGGAAATTTACGTGTTTTGACACCTCTATGTAGGTTTGTGTATCATCTGATGCAACGCCTTCCTCAATTGATGCTAAGATTGAATCGGCAAACGTTACTTCAGCTCTGTTTGATGTATTTCTTGGACGCAATCCAGTTTCTCCTTCCTTGAAAGCATCAGTTGCCAATGGATTGGAAGTAGTGCTCAAGTGAATGCTGTGTTAAGTTGCAGAGTAGCCTTTTTTGGGTTCCAGCTTTGTTGAGTAATTTTGTAGCATTGTGTAGTCAAAATACATTATATTGCTTCAAGTTTCTCTTTTAGACCAAGAATAGTAATTATTGCAAAGAGAATTAATATCAGTTTTAGCTGCAAAACTATAATAGTATTGAATTAATACCATTTAAGACGTTTAGTCATAAACTTTCAAATTGTTATCATTCATGGTCCAAGTTAACCACTCATGGTCCTTCAACTATCAAATTTTAACCACTCATGGTCCTTCTAAGAAGACCGCAACTGGTTAAATTTTACATATACAATGTGTCAAATTTGTAATGGAAGATCAAATTGAGTCGATTTTACAAATTACATCATAAGGGTTAAATTTTACATAAATGTGTGTTCATCCATAAGAAGTTGAATGTTACATATACAATGACTCAAACAACTGAGGTACATTGAAGTCACCAAGCAAAGCTGGAAAATTACAGGCATACATCTTTAATGCCACAGATTCACATCCTTCCTGTCCACCCTTTGATACTTCCTATTTTGGTTTCAATTTCAAGGCAGCACTGCAAATATGGGAAAAAAAATTGTGAATATCACATCTTTGACATGTTTCAAGTTCATGGGGATGTTCTCGAAAGGCAGTGTTGTAAAAATCGGCCTAGGCGGCCGTTGATTAGGCATTGGATGCCCTTAGACCGAGGGGATTTCACCCCTAGGCGCCTTTTAGTTGGCCGGCCGACTAGGCGCCAACTCGACCAAGTCGAAGCCTAACTCAGCCAAGTTTTTTTTTTTACTCGGCCACCAGGTGCCCCCTAACCACCCAACTAGCGCCTAAAGCCTTCTGCAACCTTGTCGAAAGGAAGGAAATGAAGTACCTATTGATGCAGTAGCGTTTTCCAGTAGGTTCGGGGCCATCGTCAAATACATGACCTAGATGAGCATCACAAGCTGCACACAAAACTTCCTGGCGAGGCATGAAAATGATGGACAAGTCTAACTTTGATTTCACATTGTTTCCAACAGGCTTGTAATACGATGGCCACCCGGTTCCACTATCAAACTTGGTGGATGATCTGGAAAACGCAATACTATCAGCATTGACCTCTGATACATTGTTAAAGGCTGCTTGCTATATCATCAATGGTGTCTCCTTTAACACATAATACAACTAGAATACTTACTCGAAGAGTGGAGTGTCACAACAAACGCAATGATAAGTGCCGGGAGTTTTGGTGTCCCAATATTCCCTGAATGTGAATAAATGGATTAAGATTTAAGAGGCAGTGCCAAAGAAACATGTTTGTAGCATAAAAGGTAAAGTTTCATTAACAGATACACTAAACTACATTGCAGTGAACCCCAATCAAATTGGTTAGTCTGTTGGCTTAGGAACCACAATGTTCAAAGTTAGAATTTCAGTGGAAGGCGGCCTATTGGCCTACTTGGTTTGATCTAATCAGCTATGAACAATTTAAACTGATTTATCTCTTTGTGGTCCTTTGCAGGCTAGAGTAGAATTTACCCAATATACACCATCAGGTATTGGCTACTAGAATGTAAGGAACAACTCAATCCACATCCTCAAATTTAAAACTTGAGCAATTCTTTCTCTAAGACCTATTGCAGAAACACCTAAACCTAAACCAAACTAAAGTAATAGCATCCAAATATGACAGGATATCTTGGAAGCTACCAAATAATATTGAATTACAGGGAAATAATAGAGAAAGATGAAGGTAAAGGGAAATACCCAGTAAAAGCCCTCTCAGTACCCTTTTGCCGTGTAATGTAAAATTGTTGTCCTGTCAGCCGCTTCTTCCACTCCTCATCACTAACTGAGCTAAAATCTTTATTGCTGACCTCTGCATAAAAAAAATGCAAGGAATCATAAACACAATGAGAAATCCTTTTGTATGTAGAGAGAGAGAGAGAGAGAGAGACCTTGAGCGCTGTCTGGTTTGGGTGAAGAAGCAGAGGAGCCCATACCACGAATCAAGAAGGAAACTTTATTTCTTGGTTTGTTAAACGATCCAAAAGCTAAAGAAAATAGAGGTTTGCTATTCGACCCAGAAAGGGATTTGGATGAAAGGTTAACCGGTGAGCTCACGCTACTAGTTATTATGCTGCGAGCAGCCATTGACACCCAAAAACGATTCTTGAGAAGGTACGGCCTGCATTTTCTCGTTATGGACGGAGACTATATTCCAGTACAGCTCGAGTGCATTCATGGTGATGCTCCGTTCATTTCACCACCGTCGGATTTCATCCATTTCAATCCACTTTCAACACGTGGCTATCTTACGTCGGCATATGTTAAGGCTTTCCCGTTGCCACGTTGACCACAAGAGATCCACAATCGGGCTGGACATTTCCCAACTTGAATGCCCGTTTATGTTAAATTGTTAAGCCCAAATACAAAGGCTTCAATTCCTATATCATGCTCCAGGATGCACAATGCAATGTGTACCTTAAAAATCTCATATACATAATTGTATGATAGAATACACATAAATTTCTAACATAATATATGATACATATGAACTCTTAACATAAAACGCATAAACTCTTAGGGTGCAATGTATTGTGCACCATATAATTTGCCAAAGGCTTGTCGTGACTACACGCGGCAAATTATGTTGTGGACTAATGTCCACCTTACAAGGTGGATCCGGATTATATTAATAATTTTTAACTCTATATTCACAATATTATAATTGAATATTTACAATTTTAGATCTTAATACACAAAATTACAGAACTCAATATTCACAATTACATAGCTCTATATTCGCGATTTTTAAACTCTATATTCACAAATTTTTACTTTGTTACATGTTCATAACATGCCTTACATATGTTAAGAAATTAAAAATTTAATAATCAAAAAATAGACATTCATAAACTCAAATATTCATGTTCATAATCAGTATATTTAGAAATTCAAAATTTAATGTTTAATATTCATGTTCATAATGATCCTCTTCTTTTTTACTTTAAAGGGGATGGAACCCTTAGAAACATAATTTTTGAGTGCAAAACTTGGATTAAGAAAGACTGGAATGTTAAGTGTTGTCACATTTTGCGAGAACAAAATTAAATGGTAGATTAACTTGCAAAGAATTATATTCTAGATTACGAGTTGGCTTTTTTATATTTTTACCCTGACGGTTATCTTGCCGAATGTATCCGTAGAGGTAGTTTAGAAATTTCACCCTTCCTTTGTATTAAAAAAGAAAAAAATAGAGTCCTGACGTGGCTACACGCATGCAAAAGAGCGTAAAACTTTATCCCAATCCAAAAATATACTACTCGTAGAATATATTTTTGGATCAGGGGAAAAGCCCCAGGGCCTAGTGGCCTACTACTCGTAGAAGATTAGTTCAGGTCACTTATCACCATCACAGTCCAAACCATAGTCGATGACTCCGAGCAAGGACTGAAAGAACAGGTATAAGTCTAGAACAGAAGGGGAAGAACTCCGAAGAAGGAGATGGGAGGACTCTCAACGCTCTCACAATCACAACAATGGCGCCCAACGCCCAAGAGTATTGCGACACAGACCGAGAATCCCAGGAATTTCTCAGTCCAATTGAACCCCAGACCTAATCCATCACTAAGAAAAAAACTGAAGTCCATCTCTTGTTTCGCTGCCCGCCCCTCCAAATCCCAGCCTATAGACAAGAATTCCACCCCGCCCTTGGTGGTGGTGGGATCAGCCAATGCCGACATCTACGTGGAGATCGCCAGGCTACCGCAGGAAGGGGAGACCGTCTCAGCCAAGACTGGGCAGACCTTGGCGGGGGGCAAGGGGGCCAACCAGGCTGTGTGTGGTGGAAAGCTGGCATACCCAACCTACTTTATGGGTCAGGTGGGTGAGGATGCCCACGGGAAGTTGATCGTTGAGGCACTTGAGGGTGGTGGGGTGTTTCTTGATCACCTCAGAACTGTGGCTCATGCACCCACTGGCCATGCTGTGGTGATGCTCCAAGAGGATGGGCAGAACTCAATCATCATTGTGGGTGGTGCCAACATGTCCTATTGGCCAGAGTCTTTGCCTGAGGAGTATTTGGAGGTGGTAAGGAATGCTGGGATTGTTCTGCTCCAAAGAGAAATTCCTGATTCTGTTAACATACAAGTAGCAAAGGTCAGGCCTTTGGCTTTCTTTTTTGAAAAATGAATGATTTTGGAGGTGTTTGGTAAATAGTTGTTAGCTGACGGGTGAGCGGGTTTTACTAGTTGATATATGTTTGATAAATTAGTTGATAGTTGATTACATCTAAAATGACTTTTTTTTAAAATTTTGAAAAAGTTACTCCGAGCAGCTTTTTGAATTTTAGTGTTTTGGAACAATAAACCGTTACAAAAAGCTAAGTAATCAAACACTTATATTGAGCCTTTAACCAAGGCTGTGGTCAAATAAGCCAAAATTACCTGATAAATAGGGCATTTATTTGTTTAATAGAACTTCAGCTTTTTGTGCAAAGCATTAAGAATATTTTCAATATGTTTATCCACTTGATCTTGTTGCATGGGTCTTACATATTCCTAGTGAAGTTTATGCACCTAATATTGATTACTTGATGAGAGTAGAAGTCTCTCTTTTAGCAAGAGTTAAGGATAGTGAATTTAACTCAGTCTCAAACATTTGTAACTAGTGGGTTAATTGGCATTCCTCTGCTGCTTCTCAATACAGAGCATATAACTTTATTAGTTAACACTTCTAGACTAAATTTCTATTATAATAGATTACACTTTACAAAATTTACAAGTTCCTGTTTTGGTTACTGGGCTCACTGACTCCTAAAGGCTATTTCCAAATAAGGAATGGAAAAGTAATTGAATACCAATAAGAAAGAAATTGAAATGGAAAAATGGGAAATAACTATGGTCTATGGTTATAGCCTTCTTCTAAGATTAATGTTTTGGTTTGTGGTTAGAAATTTTAAGAACTGCTTCTTGCTTGTTTAATGCTGTAAAGATTCTTGTGTACCAGGCTGCTAGGAGTGCACATGTTCCAATTATTCTGGATGCTGGTGGTGTGGATTCTCCAGTCCCTTCAGAACTTCTTTCAGTTGTTGATATTTTCAGCCCAAATGAAACTGAACTTGCCCGGCTAACAAAAATGCCAACGGAAAATTTTGAACAAATCAAGCAAGCTGTGGAAAAATGCCATGACATGGTCAGTTGACATACACATTAGTGTTCATAGTTAATTTTATCCCCTTCACAATGTGTTGTTCATGAACGACTATGCTTCAGAAAGAGTCAATTGCCAGTTTATGTTTTCTATTTTGTTGTATTTACTCTCAGATGAGCTTGGAGTAACAACTGTAGCAACACATTATCTCATCATTTAATCATTTTAGATTATAATTCTCGGTTTTGTTTCAGGGTGTTAACCAAGTTCTTGTGAAACTTGGGGACAAAGGATCAGCTCTTTTCGCAAAAGGAGAGGAACCAGTTAGACAGCCCATCATTAAAGCTGAGAAAGTCATTGATACAACTGGAGCTGGGGACACTTTTACTGCTGCTTTTGCAGTAGCCCTTGTCGAAGGAAAATCCAAAAAGGAATGCTTGGCATTTGCTGGTATGGACAATTGTCATGTCTCCAATTGTACTATTGTATTATGAGCGTATAAACTCTCTGAAAATGTTTGATATTGTTACAGCTGCCGCAGCATCTCTCTGTGTTCAAGTGAAGGGAGCCATTCCAAGCATGCCTGAAAGGAAAAGAGTTCTGAATCTTCTCAAGTCTCTTTGAGGATATCGCATCATGCTTAGAAATAAGAGGTAGTCATCTCTACCATAATAAGTTCTTTCACCTTTAAGGAAATAGTTGCTTCATAGGAGTACAAAGGAACTTAAGAAGTAAGAAGAAACTGAGGATAAGATTAGACATGTAAAATCCGGTGTTGGCTTTGTGATTACTTTTGGAGTTTTTGTCCACATTGTAGTTCTATTTAATACATAATAACCTGTGCTGCTGGTTTCTTTTTTTTTTTTTTTTTTTGTTAAATTTAAATTTGCTTGTTTTACCTGAAAAGTTATGTTTCACCTTCTTGTGATAACAATTGTGTTTCAACATTTTTCTTGGTCTGATATTATTACTTTGGGCTTGGCATCAACAGAATTGAAGGTTTGCATCTCTACAAGTGATAATTAAGCTGCTCATAAATCTTTTCATCGTGTCCTCTCATTTGTAATGGGACTCCTGCTTTTTCTGAAGGGAGATGCCCAAGTCGACAAGTTGATATTATGAGGAATAGACTACCTAGATGAGGTTAGCAATTGAGCAGTTTGTGTTTTTCACTGTTTCTTTGGGACTACATGTGCCCTTCCAATGAAATACTCTTTATTTTTTATTTTAGTAAACATGCTCAAAGGAACAAGTGGCATGCGGTTTATCCTGGATTGATTGGATGTGAGACGTCTAATAAAATATTGAGTTTCCTTCTTTTCCTAATCGTTTTTCTTCTTAATGCAATGACTAAAAATATAGTGTTTTTGACTATATGAGGCTGTACCATTTTGGGTAAATATTGCTTTTTCATACTTTGATAGAAAGAATTTGTATGAATCATATCGTTGGTTCTCTCCTTTGTAAAGTCATGATAAAGATAAGGCGAAAGAAACAGTAGTGGAAAATGTTGAAATCAATTATCACTATTCCGAATAATTATGTCAAAGTCACTAACTCTCCATTCTGCGTGTTCATTCTCACTAATGAATATCTCTGTTCCCAGATCAATAGATGGCCATGATCTCTTAGCTGGGGGAGTCCCTGGATCCTGCAACATCACAAAACCATTCATCATTAACAAAGTTTTGCCTTGTTTATGTATATTTATGTGCATTGGATTACTGCTTATGTTCATAGTTTCAGTCTTAAAATGATAGATGACTAAACCGAAAAGGAGAGAAAAACCTGGTAGAAATAAAGGGAGTCTGAGAGCTTCCCAACATCAAGTTCCCATGTTCTTGGATCACCTATCCAACCTTCACCCTTCTTGGTTGGATACCCGTAAACCCCCCAGACAGGATGAGGCAAAATTTGCAGTATTTCCTGAGGTTGAGGATTGCTATATGGGTCGCATAGGTTATAGGGCTCTTCAAGATGCTCAGCATTTCCTGGAGAGCAGTACAGGTGATAAGCTTCATAGGGGAAGTTATCTTTGTCTGTGCGATGGATCCGTGTCCCGTTTGGAAGGGTGTGGTATGGTGGACAGGACCCAAGGCTTTGCGGATTGCACCATGAGTCTATGCTGGGATTTAGGATCATCTCACTATAGCGAGTAACATCTGAGGTGGCATCTCCGCTGCATGGCTGCCCATTGTTCTTCCAACAACTGCCGATATCCATAAGGTAAAACTGGCTTCTTGGTCCCCCTCCATGCATTACTTCTAATGTGAATCTCACTTTGAAATTTGGTGATTCTGGAACCTAAAATATGTGAATTTTTAGACAAGAAAACTAGAGTTATGTGTGTATTGAAAAGAGAACTATAAGACATTACCCTTTTCAACATTCCTCTTGTTTGATAATGATATCCACCAGAAAATCCTAAAGTTGCATCTGATCTTAGGTATAGCATCAACCATGGGTATTTCTTTGATGTCTTCAAGTAATGGTGAAAATTCCAACTTCCTTTCTCGACTTCCTTCTCCCATGTCACTGCATAATACGAGTACGAAGAATTGTTATCTGTTCTTGCCTTCTCAATGTCATCATTATCCAAATCCCATGTTCCATAGAAGCTCCCCTTTAGTTTGCCTTCCTGAATAGTAGTATAGTTATGATAGATCCGGGGCATGTTCATACAACCTTCCCCAAAGCATGGGAACCCAGTTTCTGGTGTGGGAAGGAACACTTTCCTGCCATTTTTAGGGCACAATGCTGCCATTGTATCCATGTTTCCACTCTTGAGCATTATCATCCAGAACTGCCATGGCTTCGGTTCATCTTTAACTTCGCATTTATCACCCAAGTATAGTTCCTTCCACGCCGCATATTGATCAACGGTGGTGGTCCAGAGTCCTTGATAGAAAGCATCTGATATACCAAGCTTGTTCTCCCTCTCAGTCACCCTATGTATTAAGCTGACTTTTTTTTTTTTTTCCCCAAAAATAATGTCAAATTTAGATTCTTTTCAAGAATGGTATTTAAGGAAATGTGGTAGAAATAAGGGAACTCACTGGGTGAAGTAGAATTGTCAATGTCAAAGCAATCTGCCTGCCTTGGACTCCCCATCTCTGGAGCTTCTTCACCAACTTCATTGCACTGATTCCATGCTTCAATGGCTATTCTAAGACCATCTCTTCTCATCCCAGGATCACCAATGGCTGAAATATGTTCTTGATTGGAAGAGATTACTGTATTGAAAAATACAATTGCGAGAACCGATACAACACAAAACTGCTGCAGAAACATTATTAGCAGGTGTGTTCAAAACTAGTTTGGCAGCATAGTATATATATACAGGAACTTTAGATAATGAACGAAGCCTTAGAGATTGTTTAACACATTTTGGCACTTAGAGGGTTAATGGGTTGTCCACAAGTAGCAGCTTTGACGACAATCAAATATGGTTGGTGAGAAGTTTATTTTGTTTTTCTTTTGGTAATTCTCGCAAACATGTTTTCTGCATTACCTAAAGTCAATCAATATTCAAAACTAACATGGGATTACTTTGCAAATGCATAAAATTCTTCAATATAATTCATGACAACAGAGATCACTGAGCAAATTGCAAGCAAACTTAAGCTCAAACACAGATGAAAATCCTTCATTGATGACTACCAAACTCAAGGAAATGATTCAGATTTGTTAATGTCCACATAGTTTGCAATTAAGCACGAGAAAACACAAACTAGTTTCAACTAAAAGCCAAGTAACATGTGAACCGTAGTCGCTTATGGGGTGACATAGAGATTCGAACCCATGACCTAACTGATAGTTGGATTGCACATTAATGGTTAAATGCTCAATGCTCAACAGTGTGAAGATCAGTCCCGCATTTCTGAGGGAACAGAACGCCTCCAGATTCCAGCTAAAGCACTGCCAAAGATCGAGTGGCAGACGCTAGAAACAGCACAGGGCACTGCAGTAAGTGGATTCCCAAAGTGTTGGGTGGCGAGAACTACTCCAAGAACCGAGTTCTGCACCATAAAATGATGATTTAATCACGGAAAGGTTAACAATTGCTAGTAATTAGCACAGAAATGGAGAAATAACAATTTCATAAAACCGAACTGTGACCACATCTATGACCATTAAAAATAAACCTTTCACAAGTCATTGCATACCTGCATACCAACTTCAATAGAGATTGTCCTCGAAGATGATACATCAAGCCCAAGCATCCTGGCGAGGAAATAGCCAAAGAAGAACCCAGAGGAATGAAGAAGAGTGGCAGCAAGAACGACCTGTAGACCCGATGTGAGGATTGCAGAAGAACTTTGTGCAATGGCATTCCCACAAAGAACTGCAACAGTTGCTACAGCAATCGGTGGCATCACTGGAGAGACGACTTTGACAAGGCTCTGGAAATACTGATTCAGAAACGCGCCTACTAAAACAGGAAGGAGTACCACCTGCAGTTGGCTTGTAAAGTAAGATTACGGTCCTAACAAATAAAAGATACGTTCTGTCTCAATTAAAAGTCTAAACTGATCTTCATCAAGTAGTGCAGGAGTTCGAACTACATTCAAATTCATGACCTTTTTGTTTTTGTTTGGCTATCATACCACACTAACACGATAGAAATAACTGCTTGACGAGGAACGTTACCTGCAAAGTGGACATAAAAAGTCCAGCTGCATCCACTGCAACATATTGCCCTGCAAGCTTGGCTGTGAGAAAAGGGGTCATGACCTGTAACCAACTTAGAATTACTTGAGAGGTTTTGCAGTGAAAATGCTAAGATAAATTGCAGTATGGATTAACTTGAAAAGAACTGTTAGATAAAATTTCAATATGCATTTACTTGAAAATTTCTGTAAGAAATGAAGGAAATACACAGAAAACAAAAAAATTAAACCAAATTTGAACTACCAACCACAGCTGATAGGGTACTTGCAGCAGTCATCAAGACTGAAAGAGCCACATTTCCCCTGCACATATGAAGTAGCCAGGAGTCCTGTCTTAGTGAAATAGAGGGAAAGAAATTATATCCAAAAAAACATTCTTATACCTTGCAATGTAAGTGACAATGTTGCTTGCTGTCCCTGTGAAGTGATGAAAAAAACGATTTAAGGAGAGCAGAAACTGGAAGGACATAAAACAAGTATCTTACTTCTAATTTGTACCTCCAGGACAGCAGCCAACTAAAATTAAGCCTGCGGCGTAATGGGATGGCAAGTTCAAGAGCTTACTTACAAAAAATCCCGATAAAGGCATTATCTGCATTTACAAATTTTTCTTGTTAGTGGTAAGGAAAGCAAACCGGATACTTCTATAATATCTTTGTTGACACGCTGTTAACATCATGTGTGCAGCTGATCAATACAGGACAAAAACTATTACAAGGATACAAACATATTCAGAAACACTTGCTCTTTGTACATTAAGGATCAAATTCTGGCACAGTAAATACAGACCTAGCAATCATGCTTCAATATGACAAAAACCTTTGTTAAAATGTACATTCATTCAAGCATAAACAAGCTCTGTTAGGCAAAAGGCTACAATCTGGGGAGGTGTGGACTGGAATCAATCTGAAACACCCCTGCACACTTCTCACCTAAGGGGTGGTTCTCATTTGATCATTAATATATATATATATATATATATATATATATATATATATATATATATATATATATATGTGTGTGTGTGTGTGTGTGTGTGTGTGTGTGTGTTTGTGTGTGTGTTATATAATTATTATATAACGATATAATGTTTGTGAATGATTTAAATAAATATATAGTTATATAAAAAAATTTAATAAATACCTTTAGCATTTAATTGATCTTGCTAGGTTAAGATTAAAGGAGAGACTAAGAGTTCTTACTATTAACAATATTTTAAAATTCTAATACAAAATTACAAACACATTTAAACTAATAAATATTTAAATAAACTTATGAAGGTATGAGTAGGGGTGACAGGTCATATGGGTTGACCGGCGGGTTACATATAGGCCATGAGGCCAACCTGTATAACATGGATACCCCTTAGGGGCTAAACGGGACAGCCCGTTCAGATCGGAGAAATATACAAGTTAACATGCCTAAACAAGGGCTAAACTCGGTGAATCAGGACTGTTTTTATACCTCTAAATGTGGGTACTCACTCAAGTTTCAAATTTAATTCAGATGGTTCAGCTCGCCCGATAAGCCCGACAACCCGAAGTTTAGGGTTAGGGCCAACTCGAACCTGAAAATAAAATAATAAAATAACGGATTACCCCGAACGGGCTAGCCAGAAATCGAGCGGGCTGACCCGATTGACATCCCTAACTACACCAGAGTAGAATTATAACAATTTCATGATGATTTGCATTGAATCTCCATTACCAGCATATTTTTATTATTAAGTATTGCATTTCGTTTCCGCCCTACCATAATGATTACATATGCAAATTCAATGGCACTTACCAGCCTTATTACAAAGAAGAAAATGGTCAGTGACAGATCTTTAACTTACATTTTTTTTTTTTTAATTTCTCCCCTTTATAAACAGACCCAACATATCTGCATTCCCACATTGTTTATGATGGGAATCCAGCTTTCTGATGCAATAAACAGAGCATAATGATCAATTCGTACATGTAATGCATCAATAGCATGCATGCTTATACCACCAGTTATTCATGCACACTTTTCAGCTAATATAAGAGCACCAATCATTCACCCATAAATATGATATGAAAAGGAAGGAACAGAAAGAGACCGAGTACTGAAGCAGAAAACCAGAGAGCAATTCCTTGGGCATAGCCAATGCAGAACGAAGATCATCAAACGTCAGAGTCATGCCCATGCCAAGCATAGTAAGAGTGATTCCCATGACGGTCCATTTGGGCTGGACCCAACTGAACGAGCTGGGCTTCACTAAGCCTAGCAAGCAGCCTAGTGCCACCCAAACCGGGAAAGCAGTAGATACGGCTTCACCAATTACTTCAACCCATTCCGTAAAACTTCTCTTGCTGCCATCACTTCCGTCTGCAGTCAAAGCGTTCGACGAATTGCCACAAAGAAGTGGCCATCTAGATATCTGTTCGGGCTTGTTCCTGATAAAAAGTGATCGATTTACGGATTTGGGCTCGTCATTGGATGTTGACAGGGAATGGGAGATGAAGATGCGCGCTGATTTGGAGGGCGATTGAATTTGGATTCTTGAAGTGAGATTTCTGTAGTCTGGAATGAGAAATCTTGAAGGATACGGGTAATTGGTTATTGGATATGACTGCGAAGATAGCATTTCTCCCTGCTGCTTTTGCGTCTCGGAAGAACACTCCCCAGACCCCAGTCTAGTCTCAGTTCGTTCTCAATGCTCACTGCTATGCTTGATGCTTCACCGGGAAATGCCATTCCAATAATGATTATTAGAGTTTTTTTCACTTTTAGTCCCAAACTATAGTGACACTGGCAGAATTGATCCACGACTTTTGAACCTTGTAATTTTAGTCTACGATTATTAATTTTTTGTAAAAATGGTCCTTCCGACCACTTTTCCGTCAAAATTTCATCGAAAAAAATATTCTTTATTTTTAGTCGAGTTAAAATTGACATTTTACTTATCTCAAAAAATTAAAAGAGAAAATTTGATATTTGACTACATACAATATTACTGGGCTACATACTACTGCCCCAGGCGGCGGAGTACATGTACTACTCCAATGCAGCTGCCGGATAACCCAACTAGCCCGGGGAACGCCACGGCCGCTCCGCCGCTTACTGACAGCCCTGCCTGCTCCAGGAACTCCGCCGCCTGAGGCAGTAGTATGTAGCCCAGTAATATTGTATGTAGTCAAATATCAATTTTTTTCTTTTAATTTTTTGAGATAAGTAAAATGTCAATTTTAACCCGCCTAAAAATGAAAAAAAAAAAAAAAAAAAAATTCCCGGTGAAATTTTGACGGAAAAGTGGCCGGAATGACTATTATTGCAAAAAAATCAATAATCGTGGACTAAAATTGTAAAGTTCAAAAATCGTGGCTCAATTCTGCCAGTGCCACTATAATCGTGAGACTAAAAGTGCAAAAAACTCCTGATTATTATATCACATTATCACTGATCCTCGTTTGTTTATTACTTATTGTTGATTGTCTGTATCTTCTTTGTCCCCATAGTTGGCTAGTTGGAAAGATTAAAAAAATGGATAAGTGTCAAATAATCTTGACTCTCGAGCGTAATTTATCAGTCAATTCAACCACGAGTTAATCCTCAATTTAATTTTTCACTATAGTTATTTTTTTCGATTTAATTCTAAATGATTTTTGTGCTTAACTAAATTCTCAACTTTGATAATTTTACATAATTTAATAATTTCACATCTATTAATACTCAATTTAATTCTGGACTATAGTAGTTTTACACAAGTTAGTTTTTAACTATAATAATTTTATCCAATTTACTCATCAATTATAGTGATTTTTTTCGATTTAGTCATTGATTCTAACAGTCAAGAACTCAATTAGGTAAAATAATTGAAATCGATGACCTAATTAAGCACAAAAAAAATTAATTTTAGACTAAATAAAATAAAATCACTTTAATTGAGGACCTAATGTAAAACATTTGAGAAAATTTCAATTTTGGTCATATGACTATAGTGACTTTGTTAATTTCAGTACCTGACTTTCAAAACTGTCAATTTAGTACCTTGAGTATGTAATTTTTGTCAATTTTAATCACTTCGGTCAAATTATCGATCAAATTTGGTCGAAAAAATTTAATCACTTGTTAAGTCTATAATCTGAGGGACAAAATCATCTTTTCTAGTCTGGTCCGAATTAAGTATATTATAACCCGGTTTAGCGTGAGAGTTTTGCAATAACCGCTTATGCAATTCCGGCGACCAGCAACGCCTTTGCTTTCTTTGAGACTAACTTTCCTTATCTTCTTTCTTACTTCTGCCTGTCTCGGCGGTTGAGCTAGCCGCCGTGGCAGCACTGCCTTTTTCTTGCTTGAATGGATGGAACGCTCTGTCACTCTCATTTCTCTTCACCTCTTCCGCCAATTCCTGTAATCCCAATAAAAAACAAACAAACCAACCAAATCCAATTAAATTATATGTGATAATTGAATTAAAAAAAGAAGTTATGAGAAAAATTTAAACTACAAATTAGTTACCTCTTTAGGAGTTGGATCTGGGACTTGGTTCCAAAGCTGAACAGATCTAAGCCAGTCCGATTTCTCCGAATTACTATTATTATTGTTTTTATTAACATAATCATCACAATCATCATCAACATTGTTAGCAGATTTATGAGATTGTTCCTCGTAATATTCGTTGTCGTCTTCCTGGACGCTCTTCATCGGAATAAATTGTTCCAAAATCGGAGCGGCGCTAGTGGTCTGCTCCGAACACTCCGATTGGCCGTTGAGGTTATACTCCGTCGTCGTCCCCGACAACTGAATTGGGTTATACTATGTTTAATTCGGACCAGACTAGAAAAGATGATTTTGTCCCCGAGATTATAGACTAAATGTTGGATTAATTTTTTCTTATTAAATTTGGCCGGAGTGACTAAAATTGATAAAAATTATATATTCAAGGTACTAAATTGACACTTTCAAAAGGTAGGTGCTGAAATTAACAAAGCCCCTATTAGTCATATGACAAAAATTGAAATTTTCTCTAAAACATTTTTATAAATTTGATATTTATATTTTAAGAAATAACTAACATATAACTCTAATATATAATGTGTATATATTATTATTATTATTATTATTATTGAATAAGATAAAATAT